TCTTCTTTGCTCGTCTTGTTGGCGGGTGGCAGCCAAAGTCAAGGTGCTTTAACGCTAATCTCTCATGTTGTCTTCGTCTTTGCTCGGCCCACTTTGTGTCCTTTGGGACGTGATATGGACACGGTTTCCTTGACTTTATTCTTTCTTGTGATTTAAGTACTTAAGTTTTAACAGAGTTTAGAAATGTGAAAGATTTGAAGATTCTCCAAGAAATGACACCACAGCAGGATAAAAATACTAATGTGGACACTGGCGGATCATTTTTATTCAGTTTAGAGGTGAGTAGTGTCGGTCAGACTTCTCACCAAGGAGTTTTCTCGCTCTATGAAGCGTGGGAGCATGTTGGGATGTAACTTAACCTTGAAACACAAAATCAGAAGTAAGAGACTCACAAAAAAATATCAATGAAAGCCTCAGTGGACAGTTTGAGCCGCCTGGGACTAAATCCATGAGGACGATGTTACATCAACATCACCCTGACAAGACTCCCTCCCAAACTGCCGGGCCGCTGGTGGCTGAACTTTAAATATTTGATGAGCTGTAGTCTGGGGAAGCAGCGACGTTCTGTCAGCCGCTTTTCTAATCACTGCAGGGAGACACAGAGTAAACAAAGCAGCTCCATCAGGACCATTAGTCGTTTTACACACATCACCATTGACATTCTCTTCTGTCAGCGTTGGCTGTGTTTATATGTTTTAATGTACAGTATATTAACTGGACTATTTGGCCGACTCTGCACTGTACATGCACGTTTGATCCCCTGCAGCTGAATCTGTCCTCGCTGCCATGAATAAACCTCTTAACAGAATATTTCTGTCCACTTGTAATGTTCCGCCCACCGCCTGAGCAGCCTGCCAGCTATAAACCGACATGGCTTCTCTGCTGTTGCTTGTTGCCGTGGCTTCCCTTGATAAGAGGATCTACCCATAATGCTTTGCAGGACCAAACTTTTAGCTTTTTCCAAAGAAACTCGGCCTCTTTCTTGATTTCTTTTTCTCCATTTTCCTTTTTTTCTTCCTTCGGCTCCATCACTTTCTCAACTCCCCTTGTACTTCTCCTTCCTTCCTCCCGGTGACTGGATGCGAGCTGACAGACTCCAGTAAAACCTCTCAGCGGCTGGGACCATTAGCTCTGTCATGCGTTCAACTTGCCTCTCGTCCCCGACTGAGTCTGTTATAGAACAGAGTCTGAGGGCCTGATGCAACCCGAAGACAGGGAGGTTTCAGACTCCCGGCAAATCAGCTTGATGATGATATAATGATCTGGACTGATGAATGCTCGGTTACGTTGGTGCCATGACCTGCACACGAGCGAGGTGGGAAAATCTGCATCAGTGTTTATGTCACCATGTTGGCTGCTGTTTTGCGCCACAATCTTCAGTTCCGTCTGTGGATTTCACTGTCTTGCTTGTCACTGGCAAACCTGCGGCATTGAGAATGATCCGGATTTATTCAGAGTTGTAGGGTGTTTGAGCGCCGAGGGACTTCTGCACTGTGGCACACTGTCACCTGGGGCAAAGCTAGCTGCTGATGCCAATAAATACCTCACAACTGTGGCCTGGCTGCTCGTCAAACCTCAGTGTCTCAGTTTTATGTCTCTAAAGAAGATTTGAGGTGTGAGTGCTGCAGTATTTCAAAGGTTCCTGTGATGGAGATGTGACTCTGAGTAATGCACAATAATACATCAAGTAATATTATTATTATTATTAATGCAGATTTCAAATATCTTCCCCGATTGTCACAATAATCAACTGCCTTACTTATCGAGTTAAATATATTTTACTACCATGCAGGGAGATTTAGTTGAAGCCAGGCGTCACAAACCATCATAAATGCAACTTTATAAATTAAAACCAGGCAGATGAGACAATACACTGTCCAATACAACATCGAATCATCACAGAAGGAGACAAAGTCCAGTGTGGAAGAAAAAGTGCAGCGTGGTGGCATCAATTGTGCAAACTCTGCATATGAATCGCTGCACAGTCAATGGATAGTTTGATTTTAAATCAAACATGATCTGAAGTCTATAGACATCGTGTTCGTAAGACATGAGCTCTGGAAAATATCCTGATAATTGGGTCCAGACATTTTCTGGACTTTCACATGTGAATGGAGATTGTCCAGGTCAGACGAGCTCACAACAGGCAAGACAGAAGACAGGACGTATAATTTGACACCACCGTCGGTGCTTATCACCAAAAGCTCTAGAATATCGTTGTTTTTCGAAGTGGACGTCTTTGTTGGCGTCTTCCACACATATGGCTCCTCCTCTTCATCCTGAGATATAGAAGTTCTTTGTTCGAGTTACAAACCTCATCCACACGCCCACTTCGCTTGCTAGAATTCTCTTTACATTATGACTTCATTGATGCATGTACTGACACAACACTGTTGATTCTATGATTGAGACACTTTTCCTCTCACCGCCTGTCGTTCTTTTAAAAATGGTTCCTGTTGATTCCTTGAGGTCACAAGACTTCAAAACCACAGAGCTCTTTAAAGGAAGGTTGATGAAAAGTCTGCTCTGAATTTTATTACATTAGTTTTACAAAATGAACACTGTACTGTACATGATGTTCTCCCTTCCTCCTCTACAGGTATTAAAACTAAGAATTTCATTTTCTCCGACTCAAGATAGGTTTTACATACGATGCAGTGGATTTAATACGCTTTGCCGTGGATTTACTTTTAAGCCGAGCTTCAACTTCTCCAAATATGTAGATATAAGAGCATAAGCCTCCATGATCAGAGAGCGTAAGCAAGTTTTAAGTTTGTATGTGTAAGTTGGATATGTTTTCAGAATATGTGATATTTAGTATCTTATAAATCCAGATCTATAAGAACATACGAACCCACAGGCTTGTGTGGTTGGTACCTTTGCAGATGTTTGTGTGTGAGGACTTTAGTGGGAATTAATTTGAGATGGCGTGGACTGGCACAGACGTGTACACACAAGCATTCATGTGACACCTGATTAAGGCCATGTCCTTTATTCTGAGTTCAATTCATGTCATTGAGGATAAATCCCTCTGATAGACACGTATATACAGACTCATGCCTGACTCTATAAAGTCGACCTTTAACCTCTCATCTCTAACGACCTCTGGGTCTCATCTTGTCGTGGCTCTGGTTGAACCATGAAAACGTGACTTTTCCAACATTGACCTGAGACTCTGAATGTTTTGATGATGTTTTATAAAAATATTTTAAAATAGCATTTTTCTTTCTCTGGTGCTACATTTGTATTTACTTTTACTAGCGTCACTTGCTACCCAGATACACAAGTATAAATGTGTAAGCCGCTTGCTATTCATAGATTCCACTTGCTCTCTCACTCAGTTTATTTAACTGTCTCTGATTGATTTAATGTGAATCGGTTGCCCAACTTCATTTGGAGTGTGGTCCCAACCCTAGTTGCAAAACCAGCAAGTTTCTGAATCCATCTAAATCTGTATTTTCTTGAGTGGGAGGCTTCAAAATTGTCCTGATTACAAGTTTAAGTTCAAATTGTGAAGGTCTGTCCTCAAACATGATGGATGCATCTTCAAACTTCTGGAACATTTCAAACCTTGCATCGCTACCGTCCACAGGTCTTAGCTCATGCGCTATGTTTTGTGGTGCACGATACTGTCCACTAGACTGTGTTTCATGCACACATGCAGGATTAAGATACAAGATGCCAAAGAAGCTGCTCATAAAGAAGCTTAACAATGCCTCAGGACACTTTCACATGTTTTATGCTAGCTCATGTTATCTTTTGTACCAGGAAGGATAGAAGTGTGTAAAGCACAGTGACGCGCCATCATGATGTGATTCTTTTGAACACTTCCTTGGCATGAAGAAGAGTAACTAAGCTTTTTTAAATCATTGTGCATAATTTTTACTGCCTGGCCCGACTTAGCGTCAACCTTTATCCTCCAAACAAAGAGCGATGAGTCGTTCTCCGAAAGGAACGCAGCCATAAGATCTGTCTCCGTTCAAACAGACGTAATTCTCATCACCATAATCTTTCATCACCCGAAGAAAAAAGAATTGTTGCCAAATGCCACGTTAGCAAATGGTGATGCCAATGAGAAGGCTTGAAGAATGCTCTCGTCTGGAAAATCTTTGTGATTCCATATTTTTACTAGTCGCAAGAGCTCTGCAGAGAGCGTGTGACGAAAAAACAAAATCAATAAATGCGTCCTAAAGGTGCTTCTTTGGAAACAATAGTTTTTCTTTTATCCAAAGTGAAAAGTGTTTTTTGGGCAGAAATGAATATTGGCAATCTTTTTTTATTTGAAGGTAATTAGATGGAGGTCATGGTACTGGTTTGATGCCTCAGTAGAAAAGTCATAAAACATTCGCTTAGATTTTTTATGGATATTAATCAAACTTTCAAGTCTTCACGGCTGTAAATGCTCCAGAATAATTCAGCTATAGGAGGTTGTGTTTGTCCCGTGCATGGATGTGAAGCATCTGGAACATATGCCATCTGTTGAGAGTAATCCAGAGATTACCATGATGTTATATGAATCAGTGTTTACCCGATTGAATTGCTTGTGTGTGTGTGTGTGACAGAGACAATGCATATTGTGTAAGAAGATTATGTGCATCAGTTTTAGTTTGCATGGGACCTCATGTGACTACCAGGACTGGAATATGACATTTTAAGCTGTTTTCACTAAACAGGCGGATTTCATCCATTTGCTAGTCCGTCCATTCGTCCGTCCCTCCTGATGCAGGGCGTCTTATTCTTTCTTTCACTTAGAATTAAGCTATTAAAAAATGAAGAGGTTTTGATTTCCCAAATCTGTGCAGACATTAAGCAGCAGACCTCAAATGTCAAAGAAAATTGCTGCATTTGCATATTTCTAATTCAGTTTAATGTGTGTATGTTAATGTAATCTGCTCGTCTGTTAATGCCATGAATTGTTTTAAACGGTTAATTAAGAGTCAAGCCGATGATGATGTGAATGATTAATGTCAATTTGTGTATCGTGATCTTCTCGTCTGCAGGGATTCTCTGCACTTATGGTCACATGAATGTCAGCGCTGCAGGCCAGATGCCGGTGATGGAGGAACTTGTCAGTGAGAGGTAAGAATTAATCAGCTGTTACTGTTTGTAGAGTAATCACTGTTTTTGTGATGGAGCTCTTCCTGACAGACTTTAGGTTTTCTGTTGCAAAGGTTTTGAGACATGAAGATGTGGAGATATGGCAGATCTTTGTTTTTTTTTAATTTTCATCGATTTCCCAGGGAATATCTAGCAAAGTTAGACGACTGATATCTATGAGTGTGGGGAATGTGATGCTGCTCGACTGAATTTAAAATCGACTGTCCTTGGTCGAGGTGTTAGCTATGACTGAATTGTTCATTTCTCTGCACACAAACGTTCGTCTCTCTTTCCGAGCAGACATGGCTGCTGCATTGTGTAATAAACCAGCCTCAAAGATCTGAAGAGCAAAGAAATAACCCGAGTGCTTTGGCTCCTTCTTCAAGGCCGTTCTCATCTTCAGATATTTGGCTGAGCTGAGGAAACAATAGACAGTGTGGGATTTCTCCTGCTCCGCTCGCTGCCTCTGTAGTCGTCTTGCCCTCGGGCTCGTTGGTTTGATTAAACCAGGGATCCTGCGGAAACTGTCGGGTGGTCTTTATTCTGCTGCGTTGAAATGTAAAGAGTCATTTTATAGACTCCTCCACTCAGCTAATATTCTTTAGCCTGGAGGATAAGAGAGATTTTTGCTTAAATCATCACTGTGGAGGAACAGTGGGAATAATTTATTCTGGTTTCTTGCTTTGACTCTGACTTTGAGATTTTTAAGAAAAGAGAAGATGCATACATTAACCAGAGACAGAAGAAAATATTACACACATGTATGTTTCTGTTGTTGGTGATGCAGCGCGACACATACAGATTCAATGTGTGGTAACGGGACATGCAGTGCAACACGTGTTAAAGGACAAATGCAGGTTTTTTATAAAGAAATAATTTTTTACTGCTAAAGAACATGATGCCATATCATAAAATATTGTACTCACTTGTAACGACGCTTCCATATCTTTACAAATTCATGTAATTGTGATTGAGTGTCACCATCATCTTAATTTCTGTCATCAACTAAACAAACACCGTACGAGCACATACGGCATGTTCCCACGCTACTCAACATACATGACACCAGAATGTGCAGCAGGTATGTAGGGCAGCATGTGGGCAGGTATGACCGTATGTCATGAATCACTCCCACCGGTTGAAGCCATTAGGTTTCTGTCAGGGCTGCTGCAGTCTCCCATTAACCAGATATGGAGCCCATTCATAACGTCCCAGCATGAAAGTGGGTCGCACAGAGTAACGCCAGCATTTCATTAACAAGCTGCTTTCACTGCACAACTTCACCTTCCTCAATGAACCACACGATTCTGACACTGTTTTAATTGTTATCATCATTTTTAAATCCCTTGTGAAACTTTTCTTGCTGGATTGACAGACGGAAGAACTCAATCCAGATTACAGCTTTTTAACAAGGTGCAATTCTATGTTTATTGATATCCTTTGGTGCAGCATTCTTTCGGAATCTGCAGTAACTGAGCCACATTAAGTGAAGACCTGCTGCTGCACAAAGAGCTGTTTACCTGTTTATTGAAAATTCAGTGAAGCTCAACTCCACGATAATGCTTGCATGGATTAGAACTGTGGAATATATATTTTTTAATTCTCCTTATTGTACATTGAGGGTTTAATTAACTGATGTCCTAATGCATGACCCAGAACTTCAACAGCCTCTGACAGCATTTGATTGATGGAGATGATTTTGCAACACTTCCTTTCACCTCGTCGAGAGATCACAGATTTTTCCTGTGACATAATTTTTATGTAATCTTGATGAGTGGGAATGTGCAGATGGTTCTGAGTCATTTAATGTTACGACCTTGTTTTTCCACCTCAAACATTTATCACCTTTGTTTGGCAGGTCACAGCACATGCACATCAGAGTAATAGAACAAGAATCCACCTCTTCACCACATTTTTATTCATAATATTTCTAGTTATTCTGCACAGAACGGCTGCTTAAGGTTTCATAAATATGTGTCATACTTTGTCTGCTGCTCCAGTTTCCGCTAAATTAAATGCATCAATTTTCGCAGGTAAACATTTGCAGTTCTTTAAGTGTGACTGAATGCAGATGCCACAAGGCTGAAATGGAAAAAAAACAAACATTAATGTAAAATTGATCGTTCTTCAGTCCTTTAGTTTAATATTTCATTTTTCTGCACAGTTTCCATTTTGTATCTAAACCTGCATCTGTTGACGGTGCAGTAAATAGTGTAAAGAATTGTGTCGTCTGTTTTGCATTGGTGTCTTTGTTGCTTAATTGATTATAATCATTATTATGATCGTTATCGAACATATTGCATAACTATCTTTCAATGTTTAAGCAATTAGAAATAATTCCTGGAGCTCTGATCCGGATCTGCACCAAAACATATTGGCATTAATAAATCAATATCCTTCTACCAAGTTTTGTGGTAATCCTGCCAACACACATGCAAACAAATACAGATGTGATTTAATGTGATAATAACCTTGGCCGAGGTAATAACTGATCTCAAATGTTGGGACCAGCTCTAAGTGTCAAACTCAGCCACTTAGAAAACTTCAGCTCTTCCACTGGTGGGATCCGTAAATAAATAAAACGGACATTGCAAATGTTTCCACATATAAACTCACTGAAAGCATCAGCTGCCCTTGAACAAGACCCTGAAAGTCTCTTGGCTGAAGCAGCATAAAAGAAGACAGTCTCATGCAGCGTCACATGATGCCGTCTTCAACCAACACCTGACATTTCACATGTCAAACACATCCTGCAACGCAATAGCTCATCTCAGGGACTTTTTATGAGACCGTCCCGGAAGAGGCCGACGTGTTCAAGCCATAAGTCAATAGTGAGACGCACTCAGAGTGATCAGATAGCAGTTTCTCTTTCCTCTCCTCGAGTCCTTCTCGCTCTGCCGTCTCACTTTTCCTTTCCTCACCACCTCAGGTGACAGATCCTGTTTTCTGGATGATTGTTTTCGCTGGGAACGTTCTGCCTCAGACTGTTTGAAACCAAACAGATGGCACGAGGAGGTCGCATCTGCTCGGTCCTGTTGTTACAGTAGTTGTTGACTCATTCATTCAGTTTGTTCCTTTTTCCCTCTGTGTGATCTCCTGCTATGTTCCAATTCAGGGACGTAGTGGGAGCTGGATAATGGCTGTAAACTGTCCTCCAGTTTACGATCATGATACAAACTGTTACTAAGCGGGAACATTAATTAGTTTTTCTTGAATGTAACTTGGATTATTTTTGTCTTTACATAGTTAGATCAACTTGTGTACTTTTTGTGACATGAACTCACAAGTATGAGGAGAAAAATAACGACAAGAGCAAGAGTTTCACCTCCTTTTGCTTTGCACCAAGAAAAGAAAATTCACTGATCAGGACAAAATGTAGGACTTTTTAAATAATCTGGTGTTGTTGCTCTGTTTTTTGCAGTGAACCGTCTCCATGTAGCGTGAAAGTAATATTTATCTATATCCTTGAAAAGAAAACACACAAAGAAAATGTGTGCTTGCAGGGTTCACCCTCCGTCCCCCTGCATCTCTCCTTCGCTCTCAGGGACACATCCATCATCCGTCACCTCGAGCCACTTGAAGATAATTTTCGACACGCTGCAGCGGTGGTGGCATCACACAAACATTCTGAGTCTGTGTGACTTTACTCTCCTCTCGCTCGGTGGCTGAGTTGCAGAGTGCAAAGTTGGCGGAGTACACAGTCTTTTTTTTTCACACTCTGAATAATTCATTGAGCAGCCACTTATGTAATCTCAATAAAAATCCTCCATTCATACAAAAATGCATTTGCTGATGCATGAAGCTGAGGAAGAAGCTCGCACGCACAAAAACACCCCCAAAAAAATAAGACACTCAAAAAAGAAAGCAGGACGTCTTTCATTCAGCTCCGACAGGATCGTATCTCTGAATAGAAACACGCTGACGATGCTGTCAAAATCTCCAGCAACAAAGCGAGAGGAGTCAGCAGGAGAAGTGTGTGTGTGTGTGTGTGTGTGTGTGTGTGTGTGTGTGTGTGTGTGTGTGTGTGTTTGTTTGTGTGTGTGTGTCTGTTTCTGACAAGGAGATTTCTCCACCCGTCACTGACTGAACATCCAGGCTCGTGCAGATTCAGCCTCCAGCGTCTCGTCCTGCTCTCTGATCTTTTTCATTCAGAGAAATCCTCCATCATCCAGCTCATTCACACATCTCACCGCGGGCGTGGCTGCCGCTGCGGACGAGGTGGTGCTCTTGTATTTATGGGCTGATGTTTGCTCAAGATGAATGAAACACAGCACTGTACTTTTTTAAAAAGCTAATTAACAGTGGATGCATTTAAATAGAGCTGTTTAGTCTTTGCAGAATAACCCCGGCACCAATGAAAAATAGTGTGTTGCAGGTCCAGGGCTGGGTCCCTGATGAACAGGTTATTCTGGAGCAAGGCAGGAAACGTTTTTAAACACCTGCAGAGGCTCTTTCTCACCAAAGTCTCGTGGGACTGAACGACTTTGCCGCTGGTAACTTTACTGATGTCTCCACGGTCCGAGCTGCAGCCGTGGAGGGTTTGTTGCTGCTGTTGTTCTACTTTGGCCTCGAATATCTGTGTGACGAAATTTGGGCAATTAGCAAAAACACAATGCAGCAGCAGACCTGTGCACTTTTTATCAGTGTTTTGCTGAGTGGACAATCAAACTTTTATTTCAGGGTGCAAAATATTAAACTGAAGGTGCTTTTTACACTCCTGCAGAAATGAGCCTTTAAACAGTAGCTGCCTTTTTAAAATGTCATCGCTTCTTTTGATGCAGAGCAAAAGCTTTAAGCCTAAGTTGTGTCTGCATTTCTTTGGCAGCGTCTCCACTGAAACAAAAAAAGCTATATTTCAAAATTCTGAACAATTAACTAATTTGTGCTGACAAGTGGCTCTGAGCTAAAGTCTGTCCAGTGTTTTCCCACAGAGTAGTTTCCTTTGATACACACACATCCTCAGAGCTGCTGCAGAGTGTTTA